AGTGTCATCTAATGTGATTTAGAAAGAGCCATCGCAAAACCCCTCTCCCGGAAGTCAGCCCAGTGTGGGGAGCCAATGCATTAATTCACCTAGGCGGAGAGTAGATGCTGGTTCCTGGAAGCACATGCTTGGCAATCTCATCAGGGATCTGTCAGGTGGGCAGGGAGGAGGCAGATGCAGCTTCATTCAGCAACCAGTGGCCCTCTCTGGGCACAGCAAAGGCCATGTCCGTTTTTCACTACTGCTGAATCAGAAACTGATTCAAAGTCATTTTGTGCTAGCCCAGGGATAATAGAAGGTGGCTAAGACACCAAGACCTCCGGCCAGGTTATATGGGAAGACAGAGCGAATTCCCCTAACTGATGGGCATGCCGTGATAGCTTCAAGAGGCTGAGGAGAGAGCTTATAGTTCTGGGATGTTTCTCTTTATGGTCCTAACGGCACTCAAGTCATCCTGAGGATTAGTCTGGGTTCATACATAAAGAAGATGCAGAGCTAGGCGTGATGGCGCGCGGCTGGGAAGGCTGAGGCAGGAGGATTGCGAGTTCAAAGCCAGCCACAGAGAGGCACTGAGCAACTCGGTGAGACCCTGTCTCTAAATAAAATCCAAACTAGTGCTGGGGATGTGGCTCAATGGTTGAGTGCCCCTGAGTTCAATCCCCAGTACAACCACCCTCCCCCCACCAAAAAAAAAAATAGATCCAGAACAGGGGTTTTTACTTATGAGCGTTGCTAGGTATAACCCAAAGCAAGCAGACAGTGACTCTTTGCCTCTTGCAGTTCTTTTTTGGGTGTAGGGATTCTTCTCTGCAGTCCTGTGGTTTGTAAGGTAGACTCTGGGCAAGCCAAGTGTTAAAAGCAAACCCTAGAAGATGCTCAGCCTGGAGACTGAGTGTGCCCCCAGGGTTGGGGGAGGCAGTGAGCTGTGGTGTACACTTCATGCCTGGTGACAAAATGGTGACCCAGTATCCCTAGGGAGGTTGACTCTTTGGTTTCCCCCATGCACCCTGTATTCTCAGCATGTCTAGTTGAAGGAAGGACTGGCTCAGTGGTTGGAATAGTCTAGAGTTCTCTCGCTCCAGGTTTCACTTCTAGCCTCCGTTACTGTTTCTCCAAAGATGGGAATCATATGCCTGTTTAATTTTAGGTGACCTACACTGATCTCTGTATAGGTCATTCTCTTTTTATCCTTCTGAATAGGTCAAGTGGAGAGTCTCAGGTTCGTGCTGAAATTAAATGCCTCTCTGAGAGTGGCCCACCTCACTTTCTAACAAAGAGAAAATAACTTCAGTCCTGATGACTACCAGCAAGCTGGAATTTTACCGGCACAGTTTTATTTTTATTATTACTATATTTTCATGCTTAACTTCTACTTACAAGTAGTTCTTTTTTTCATCAAGTCTAAGATACACAGTTTAAGACTAATGTACCCAAACTTAGAAAGTGAATCAAGTAAATGATGCCCTTGGTGATCTTCTATGACAAAATGCATGCAATTTGGGAACCCCTGAACCTGCCCAAGGTTGCATTTCTTGACCATGAGTTCAGATGGTAGAGATCGGAGGGAGGAGGGCAGCCTGGTTGGAATCAATAAAGTCAATGTTGGGGGAATCTGGGGCCATTTTGATTCCTGGTACCTGGATATAGCGTGAAGGGAGGCAGGGGTCACAGAGGCGACCTTACAGGGAAGCCAGAGAGATCAGCCTAAAAAATGTTTGAGGGGTCCTAGGAAAGGGAGAAGGGACTGGCTGGAAGAGGGAGCTCTTTAAGCAGTACAAAGATTAAAAAATGGCCTTTGGGTCAGACAGCCTGGGCCCACCATGTACCTTAGAATAACACTTAACATCACAGAGCCTTGGTTCTCTCTTCACTAGCAACGCAGGATTATCATAGAATCTGTCAGTAAGAATTGGCTTTAGTCATCCACTCTGGGCTGTGCCCCATCTTGTCAGCTCCTATGTGTGGAGAATCATCTGGTCTTGCAGAGCAAGTGCCAAGTCTTTGAACTTGCTCTGCCTAAGACTGACTTGCTCCTGAGGGTACGATCAGGATAGCTGGGAGAGGCCAAGTTGATCTGAATTTCAGATAAATAATGGATTTTTAAAAAAAATTATTGCTCTATTTAGTAAAAAAAATTTCAGTATTCCATGAACCATTTAACATTGTATAAAAATTCAGTGTGTAGAAGCATTTTGAAAAGGGAAGTTAGGTGGGTGTGAAAGAAGATGAGGAATAACCCAAGGACCAAGTTTCTGTCCCCCTTTGTCTCTAGAGGGAAGTATATTCAGTCCCATTGTATTGCAGGTAAAGGTGATGTTCTTGGCAAAATTGAAGGACCCTAAGTGTAAGTCCCTGGTCTCTAAGGTGCTAACTAAATTCCCACAGCTCAGGAGGTCATTAGTTTGGTCTATAAAGAACACCCTTAAAGAGAGATACAAATATCTGTTACTTTAAAAACACACAGGCAGGCTTGACAGTAGCTTGTAGGATATTTCTTAGGGTGAATGTGTTTCTGGCAAGACTCATAAAACAAATGGATTTACCTGGAAGATAGGAGATGTCAGGCCTCAAGGCGAGACAGAAGCAAAATCAGGTTGTAAGTTTAAATCTTCTTAAAACATCTAGAAAATGCATTCAAATATAGGCCCTTAGGGTTCAGCAAGCCCCAGGAAAAACCTAGAGCTTTCTTGGCTCTGCCTGAAAATACCCATTATATAGGTAACTCAGAAAACAATTTCAGCCTAGAAAGTCAAGCCTGAACATTTGTGACCCCCATTTGAACAGGGCACTCCAAAATGACATGTTCTCTTTCAAAGGAGGCATTCTGAGAGGAGAATAGAAAGAGGTTTGTAGTCATGCCCATAGACAAAGTTCATTTTATCGCTCCTTTTTTTTTTTTTTTAAGAAAGAAGATGAACAGTGGAAAAGGTTAAAAATAATATATGAAAGACAGCTTTTGCTACACCATGCTCTGTGCCTTCAGGCAACTAAGTGCAGAGCTGACACACAGATGACAGGGAGAATGAAATGAGCTTTCTAGATGCAAGCGCCTGAGCCTTCACCACAATTGCACAGTACTTGGAGGGGAGGAACTCTGGGGTCTCTAAGTAATTAAAGTACTTTGAGAAGGGGATTGGGGAGAGAAAGGACAAGAAATGCACATAGATTTTAAATTATCTAATAAAACTTCCATTTTGAAGTGAAAACAGAGGTTCCCTCTTACCTGCAGGGGTTATTTTACAGTATCTGCCCCCAAGTGGATGTCTAAAGCCTGAGATAGTATCAAACTCCATATATACTAAGTTTTTCCTCTGTATATGTACCTAGGATAGTTTAATGTATAAATCAGATACATTAAGGCATTAACAAAAATGAATAAAACAATTATAAAAATACACTATATTAAAAGTTATGTGAGGGTTGGGGTTGTGGCTCAGTGGTAGGACACTTGCCTAGCTCGTGTGAGGCACTGGGTTAGATCCTCAGCTCCACGTAAAAATAAAGGTATTGTGCTGCCTACAACTAAAAATTTTTTAAAAAAGTTAGGTGGATATTAACTCTCTCAAAATACCTTATTGTACTAGACTTGTGATGCTACTTAAAGGAAGCACTCTGCAGCATTCCTCTAGCATAACCAAATTTCCAGCATTGCTACTCTTATACTATGGAGCCATTATTAAACTTCCCAATGTTTATTTTTAAGTGACTCTTTATCTGACAACTCTAATGTGACTAACATGAGGGTAGTGTATACTGTGTGGATAAGTTAGAAATGTTTGTCATCTTGGGGGAGATGAAGCAGGAGGGCATGCAATGTACAATTTATGAATGGCTTATTTCTGCAATTTTCCATCTAATATTTTTGCACTGCAGTTGAGGGAGGGTAACTAAAACTAGGGAAAGCAAAACCCTGGGTAAGGTGCAATGTATTGTTTTCCAACCAAAATCATGACTACTAAGTGGTTGGCAAAACTTTATACAATTCAATTGCTACCAGTATTTGCTCATTAATTTTGTTTTAAATTAGTATCTGCTCCAGCAACTTATAAACAGGCTAAAGGAAGAAGTATCTAATTCTAAAAGGAAAAAGAATTATTTAAAGGATGTTTCTCTGAGGTCCATTAAAGTGTACGACAACCAGTTGTGGTGGTGCATACCTGCAATACCAGCGACTCAAGAAGCTGAGGCAGGAGAATCACTAGAGGCCAGCCTAGGCCACTTAATCTCAAAATAAAAGGGGTAGGTATGTTGCTCAGTGGTAAAGCAACCCTGAGTTCAATCCAGTACCAAAATAAAATGAAATGCAGGACAGCCAGTTTACATTTGAATTTCAGATAAACAATAATTTTCCAGTCTGCTCCCAGTATTGCATGGCAATCCTACTTACGAACAAATGTCAGAAGATCAATGTATAATATCCATTGTAAACAATTTTAGTCTAAGCACGAATTCTAAAAAAGGAGATTGTAGCTTTCTACCACAATCTTATTCTAGCAACAGTTAAACATCATTAATGAAAAATCTTAACAAGTCCTAATTTTCCCCTGTAGCCTGAGCTTCCTAGCACCTAAAGAAAAAGAGAAACATAACCAGTAATTTATCAAATAGCAGCAACAGAGAAAGGAGTCTACCTGGGTCAGGCTGAAATGGCAGGAGGCTGAGGGACAAAGAATCTGGAGCCAGAGGGCACTGTCACACCTTTAGAGGGTTTGGACGTTTCAAACAACCAGCTTTGCTTTACCCACCATCTGCTGTGTGGCTGTTGGAATGGAGGGCAACAGCCCTGGAGGAGAGACAGGGAGAGCAGGTCTGGAGGGGAAGGGAGCTGGAAATAAATTCCTTAAAGAGCATAGTTTTCTCCACTTCAGCTGTTGTGACTTTTGCAGCCACCAGCTGAAGATATTGGTTAAGCTGCTTATCTTTGTCCCCATTCCCAGCCGGAGACCCTTTCCTGAGGGCCAGTGGAGGGTTTTGGTGATGACAAAGTGCACAGTCTTTACCTGTCATTGAAAGTAGATCCTCAGAGCTGCAGCTTCTGCCGCCATTTCCTCCTCTGATCTCCAGGAGGCTGGGGAGTCCACTCCCTCTTTGTCATGTTTCTGGAGCTTTGGAGAGAAAATGGGATTGGCTCATTAATGGGATCTCATTGAATAAATGTTGGGAGGAGTGCAGATTAGCTGCTGGTAAGTGTGTGTTTCTTAATTAGGTTAATTGCCAAAATTTGAAAACAAGGAGACTACACAAATGAATCCACATTTCCAGTTTCTCTAACAAAACCAGATTAGGTTACATGGTGGCCTTCTGCTGCCTGGCTGTTGTCTGCTGAGGACAGAGTAAGGTGGCTAGTTGTTGGGGGGGCCTTCTGCTGTTCACAGTCCCCCTACTCTTTGGCTTTCTTAGGTGTGGCAGGCATCATTCATTTATTTTACTTCCCAAAGTCTAAAAGTATGAATTTGCCACCTACCAGTGGCCATTTTCCCCAGGCTGGCCTGTGGTCTACCTGCCACAGTCTTCTGCTTAGCCTCTCACATGAGCTCTGCATACCTGTTGTGTGAAACAAAATTGTCCAAGCAAATTTTTATGATAACAATACAGGGACTATGACTACTGAGTAAGATGACTACTGAGTAAGAAAGGAGCATTTCCAGCAAGAGAGGCCTTAAGCCAGCAAACAAGTTAATGAGAAAACAATTTAACACTTGGTCTTCGTCGATTATTTTGAAATCCTCCTCAGATACTGATATTTTTTATACATCTTGTGTAGGTCTCATGATTACATATAGAGTGAATAAAACTTCTATCAGAGGTTTTCAGAACTCTCTTATTTCTTAGAAAACCTCAATCCCCTTTCCCTTAATTTTCTTAGGTAAATCTGTTATTCCTCCATGTGGTTCTATACATTCTAACATGCTGAAGGTGTATGTTCCCCATAATACAGTATTTTGTGTTAAGTCCATTGAGGTGAATGATGTAAAGAGCAGTTTCTTTACTGTGCATCATTTCATTTAATCTTTAAAATAACCCATTAGACAGTTTTTGCTTTTTTACTAAGACCCGTGGGAGTAATATTCACTTGTGAAAAGTCACCCAAGCAGTAATGGTAGGCATGAGGGTTGTCCCTATCAACCTTCACCTGTGGATCCTGGAGGGTCCACTTTCACATGGATTAAACATTCAGATCTGTTATTTTTTTTTGGGGGGGGGGAGATTGAGCCTTTAACTAAAAGCTTGGTGGTCCCTGTCCCCAATGCCAATTTAATAACTAGGAGAAGGTTCATTCCTTTGCTAGCAAAGGAGGGACTCAGGTCCCAAAGGCTGTGACTCCCCCCATCAGGAGGGACAGGGGCGATTTAAAGGAACTTCAAGGGTGACATTCCAGGTATACTCTGGTAGAGGGCTCCAAGGGCACTGTGATGGTTGTTAGGATTCACTTTCCAGATCCATCAACTACATGAAGAAAAGAAAACTTTTTTTTTTTTTTTTTAAAGTGAACCTTAGAGCAATGAGGGCTATATTCAGAAGGCGAAGGGACCACTGAGCTATATCCCAGACCTTTTTATTTTGAGAAAAGTTCTCCCTAAATTGCTAAGGGTGGCCTCAAATTTGTGATCCTCCTGCTTCTACCTCCCAAATTGCTGGGATTATGGGTTTGGCTGAAAGTCCATAATTAAAGTTCACTTTCATATATTTTGATCACAAACAGCACCGTTACATCAATTTATCAGAACTTACTCTCAAGTCCATAAATAACTTTTTTCTTGACCTGAACCTAAAATAGGTCTGAGAATGCCTTTGCTCAACAAGTAGATATTTTTGTGATTTATATTTTTAGGACCTGATTACAAGGTGATGTATAGATGAAGTAATCAAACCTTCAGTGTCACCCCATGAATACAAAGCAGAATGACAAATCCCCCTGACAGAAGATATTAGAGGTCTTTCATCAAAAACAAAGAAGGAAAATGACCCCTAGTCACCAACACAAAGGAGAACCAATGACACCCTCTTAGATCATGTCTGTGCTATAAATCTTAAGCGTAAAAACACGCGTACCTAAGGGGTAGCTAGCATGTTCCTCTTCAATACCTGCACTCTGTCTTTTTCTCTGAAATCAAGTGAGTCATAACTCACTCTGACCCATTATTAAATCCTGATCAAGGACCCTCACAGCCTGAATGGAGGTTCACCTCCCTTTTGACCTCTGTTCTGGTGACGATACTGTCCCACTCCTCCACACATATTCACACCAAAATCAGAGCCTTTGCAAATAATCTTGTCAATTTAGCAAAAAAGACTATCAACTAAAATAATGGAGCTGGTATCTCAGGCCCCAAACACTCTAAAACTAATCCAGAGACCTCACCCTGAGAGCTCCTGGGAGGTGGAGAAGTTTCCCCCTCCATTTCGGGCAAACTTTGCTACAGAAGTCAAAACAGAGAGAGAGAGAGAGAGAGAGAGAGAGAGAGAGACAGCCTTGCTCTCCAGCTGAGCTCTATTTCCACACTAAGTCAGAGCCTAAATGATGCTCATTAGCATATAACTGGGCCACAAATATGTTTATGAGGGTCATGGATCTTCCTTTCAGAATTTGGCTGCCAGCATACTGGTTTTACATTTTTGCCACATAGATTTAATTCTCCTTAGTGGAAGAAAACCACATTAAGAAGTCATTTCCTTCCTCGCAGAGGCAGTGATGACGAGATGACGTGGTTGCTACAGGCAAAGCAAGTGGGATTGCTATTCCACTCAGGAACTAATTTTCATTTCTATACTACCTTTAGGTCTGCTATAAATCCATCTTGTAACAACTCAATGGAATGACAGAGAACAATGCAAAGCCTAGAAAATATGGTCTTCCCACTTGTGCTCCTGCCATGGGAAGATACAAAAATCAAGCATTAAGGGGCTTCAAGCGACTCGAATCACACCAGGTGAATCCAAACAATTTAGAGTCTGTGACCACTAATGCCTTTCTGGTTATGGGGCGACCGTCTGTTATCGTCATATGCCTTACAGATGGCACCATTGTGCCCACCCTTGGAAGTTGTTTACAGGAACTAGGAAATAAAACAAAAACTAATCATATTGGAAAACTCTGTTTTTACATGGTTTTTAAAGCATAGGCTATTTCCCTCCTAAAGGCTCCCAAATGGAAGCATGTGGTTTTCCTTAGAACAGCCCAACCCTGGGTGCCCATTGGAATCAACTAGGAAACTTGAAAATACAAAACTCACCCCAGTGATTCTGATTTAATGGGTTTGGAGATTTTAAAAAGTTATATATATATATATATATGTGTGTGTGTGTGTATATATTGCCTGAGAACTATATATTTTATATATGTATAAAACATATAGATCTCAGGCAATTCCAATGGTGCACTCACCATTCATAAACACTGCAGGAGATACATTTCTCTGCGTAGACAGAACTCACACACCTATAGAAATATAGTTGTCACCCTGTGTCCATGGGGGATTGGTTCCAGAACCTTCCTGTAGGATACCAAAATCTGCACGTTCTCGAGTCCCTTGTATAAAATAGCAGAGTGTTTGCATGTAGCCTATGTCCATCGTCCAGTATACATCAAATCATCTCTAGATTACTTATAATATCTAATATTACAAGGTTAAAAAAAAGTTGTACTGGTTGTTTAGGGACTAAGGACAAAGAAAATGTCTATTGTACATGTTCAGTACAGATGCGTTGTTGTTTTTTTTTATCTGCATATTTTCCATCCATGGAGTTGAATCCCGAGAAGGGGAACCATGGATATGAAGAACTCACTGTAATACATTTATTCTTGTCTATTGCTTCCAACGGTATCAAATCTGTCCTTTGCAAACCAAGCTGCAGAACTACTTTCTTCTGTTTACCTTAGGTCAAAGTGAGGACTGAGCTAGAGGCTTTTGATGCTTAAGATTGCTGGGAGCCATTAGCCAAGAAGGTATGACAATTTCCTTGCCAGCGTACCCCATGTTGCAGTGACATTGAATGTACGTGACCTTGCTCAAGGACCAAGGCAGATTAGGGTGTTCCCGGTTTTAAGATAATCGTGTTTAGGGCGTTCCCAGTTTAGGTTCCAGGTTTAAGGTTTAAGATTATTCCTGCTGGGAATAGGGCGTATCCTGCTGCCTGAGTTCCCCTTGAGTTCTCACGGGATTCAGACAGTATATTTTGGGAGATAGAAGCCCAGTGGAGGTGGATTTGGGCAGAGAACGGGATTGGCAGAGAACGTGGATTTCCCCAGAACGTGATTGTAGACGGCTGGTGTGAGTTCGGGAATAAAGAGTTGCTGTTTGAATCTACAAGCTGTGTGGTGGCTCGTGATTGTGTGCCCAGCCAGACTGCGGCATTTGTGCCCAGCCAGACTGCGGCATAAGATGTTGATCAGGAGCCCTGCACAATAGCGCAAACCTATAATCCTGGAGGCTGAGGCAGGAGGATAGCAACTTCAAAGCCAGCCTCAGCTAGTTAGCTAGGCCTTAAACAACTCAGAGAGACCCTGTCACTAAATAAAATATAACAAAGGGCTGGGGATGTGGCTCAATGGTTAAGTGCTCCTGGGTTCAAACCCTGGTACCAAAACAAGCAAAAAAAAAAAAAAAAAAATTACTGACTGGTCAGGAACCCCTGAATGAGTCTGTAGTCTCTGTAGGAATGGGGAGCCTGGGGAAGGCCCTGCTGATTGGTAAGACTTGTGTCCTAGACAATCCACTCAAGTGACTTGGAAATTAAACCTGTTGCAATTGAGAATAAAATTCCACTTCCTGTAAGCAAACTAAGAACCTGGAAGTCCTAAGGATTTGAAACTGTATCTTATCTGAAAGGTATTGTTTGCCTAGGGTGAGTTTTCATAGCCGAGTGTGGTTTTAGATGAACCTGCCACAAGACTTTAGGTTGCCCTAAGGAAAAGGTGGAGTCTAGTTATTAACATTCCATTTATTTAATCTGCTCCTGCTGGGGCAGACAGCAAGTGGTTGATTTTTAGTGAGATGGGATTAGCAAATGGGAAAGGCACTGGGTGGGGCTCACCTGCCTAGAAAGGTTTTAGACGGTCAGCTTTCTCTCACCAAGAAACTTGTGAAAGTGTGGGGAGGGAAGG